GATGAGAAGCTGTTGATAGGGGGAGCTATCAGTGATTAGTGGGTAAGCTCATTTACCTATCTCACTCCCGTCCTGATATTGCTGTTGTTGTCAGTGTGGTTAGTCAGTTTATACATACTCCTCATCAGATTCACTTCGAGGCTGTCATGAGAATCTTGAGGTACTTGAAGTCTGCTCCTGTTAAGGGTCTTTATTTTTCAAAGTATGATCATCTTCGTGTGGTAGCCTACACAGATGTTGATTGGGCTGGATCAATAACTGATAGGAGATCGACTTCAGGGTATTGCACCTTTGTTTGAGGCAATCTAGTTACTTGGAGGAGTAAGAAACAGAATATGGTTGCCAGGTCAAGTGCAGAAGCTGAGTTTAGAGCTATGGCACAAGGGGTGTGTGAGCTTTTATGGATCAGGTTCTTGTTGAGTGATCTAGGTATTGATCAGACGGACACCATGCGGTTATACTGTGATAATAAGGTCGCTATCAACATCGCTTACAATCCGGTTCAACATGACAGGACAAAACATGTTGAGATTGATCGTCACTTCATTAAAGAGAAACTCACTGGTGGTACCATTTGTACTCCTTTTGTCCAGACTGGTGATCAACTTGCTGACATTCTCACCAAGAGGGTTAGGAATAAGCCATTTCATGACATATTAGACAAGCTGGGCATGAGAGATATCTTCGCACCAGCTTGAGGAGGAGTGTTAGCATATTATATTATCATATTACTATCTGAGTTATTAGTGTGTAATTATTCTATGTCTCAAGGCTCCCTTGTAATTTTTACAAACTTTAATCTTTATTAATATAAATAGGGGATGATATCCTAATCAAACCCTAAGCTGGTTACTCTCTACAATCATCATTACGATGTCTCTGGCTTTTGACGAGCATGCCTTCTTCCATCAAAGGGGCCATTAGAAGCATCAGTGTCCCAAGAAGGGAAGTCTGTTTGCCTCATCGTCTCAGTAGTTTCAGATCCAATTCCGCACCCCTCTTCAGAGTACTTTTCGGCCTCCCGTCGATTTTATTGCATCTTTGGCTTTTGGCTTCCTTGAGTACTCAGATTAGTCAGTTTCAGCATATACTATCTACCTCCCAGACATCCCTGTCTGTCTTCATTGTTTCTTCTCTTCATTCGGGTTTGTTTAGGTCTTCTTCAAGTATCTCTTCGTCTGTCTGGATTTTTAACTCTGGCACCTCTCATCATATAACTCCTCATCTCTCCTTATTTCAAAATTGTATTCCTCTTACCTTTCCTATTACTGTCAATACTGCTAATGGGTCTGTTATATCTGTTGGATCCGTCCTATCGTCTGTATGTCTGTTGTCTCTATTCCATCTGTCTTATATACTCCTCAGTTATCTGTCATTTTATTATCTATCAGCCAGCTTAATGCCTCCTGTTTTAATGTTTCTTTTCTTCTTCTATCTGGTATGTGCAGGATCGGATGTCCAAACGGCAGATTGGGGCTGACCATAGAATTAGACCTCTATGTGGTGAAGAGTTTGCATCTGCCTATGACTATCTCTCCGACTGCCTTTTCCTCCTTTCAGTTAGATTCTTTGTCAAGTCATTTCTATTTGTGGCATTCCAGATTAAGGCATTTGTCTACTGAGCGCCTACGGTCTTTAACTCAATCAGGTATATTGGGTAAAGTTTCTCCTAGTCAACTTAACAAGTGTCTAGGGTGTAAACTTGCTAAAATGACAGTCTTACCTTTTCAACAAAGCACTTTTATATCTGACACACCGTTTTGTTTAGTTCATACTGATGTTTGGGATCCTTCTTCTGTTCTCATTAAAAAGGGTTTTGCATACTATGTGTCATTTGTTGATGACTGCACTCGTTACACTTGGATTTATCTTATGACTCATGAGTTTGACTTCTATCACATATATCGTACTTTTCAATCTATGGTCACTATACAGTTTGGGTCTACTATTAAATTGTTACGGTCTGACTTGGGTGGAGAATATTTTAAAACTGAGTTCTGTGAATATTTGGCTAATTTGGGTACCATTCACCAGACTTCATATACTGATACACCTTCCCAAAATGGTCACGTTAAGCGTAAACATCATCATTTCCTTGAGGCAGCTAGGTCTCTCCTTCTCTCTGCCTCTGTTCTGGCTCCATTTTGGGGTGAGGCAGTTCTTACAGATGCTTTTCTTCTCAACCGTATGCCTACTTCCATTCTCTCTGGTTGGTCTCCTTATGAGACTTTGTTTTCTCAACTTTCCCAATTACTTCATCCTTCGTGTATTTGGGTCTACTTGTTTTGTCCTTTTACCCCGTAAAGGTAGGACCAAACTGAGTACCCGGTCTGTCTTGTGTGTCTTTTTGAGATTACAGTCTCACTCAAAAAGGTTATCGCTATTATAACCCTGTTTCCCGTCGCCTATATGTCCCCCGCCATGTTACCTTTCTTGAATGTCTACCTCTTTTTCCTCTTACAGCCCCAATTTCCAAAAAGGATTTGGTTCATATTGATCCATTTCCTTTTGAGGTCCCTCTTGATGAGCATGTCGTTGCTATTCCCCATGAGCTTGTTCCCTCTCTTCCTCATCTCGCCTGACCCCCATAAGTCTATTCCTTCTTCTCCTCATCCTACTCCCCCACCTGCTCCTTCTCCTCCTCCGTTGTTAGTCTATTCTCGTCACAAGACTCTCCCTCCACCAGTTGTCTTTGTCCCTTCTACTGATCCCCTTGCTTTTGACGACTCTGATCTTGCTAACTGTAAGTATCCTCTTTGCATCCGTAAATAGGTCGTCAAACTAGATTTTGCTAAAACATGTTTTTCTCCTTCATATTGTATCTTTTTGTCTGCTATTCACTCTTTTTCAGAACATCAGTCTTACAAGGAGGCCTGTCAAAATCCTAATTGGGTTCGAACTATGGAGGATGAATTGTCTATTTTGCAGAAAACTATTACTTGGGAGCTAATCCCATTGCCTACTAGCAAAAATCTGGTTGGTTGTAAATGGGTCTATAAAGTCACTCACTCTAATAGTTCTTTTGAGCACTACAAAGCTCGCCTGATTGCCAAAGGTTTCTCACAGGAGTATGGTATTGAATATGAGGAGACCTTTGCCTTTGTTGCCAAGATGACTACTATTCGTACTTTAATTTATGTTGTTGTTGTTCGTCATTAGCCACTCTATCAGACGGATGTTAATAATGCTTAATGGCCATCTCACTAAGGAGGTTTACATACGTCCTTCCCCTGGCCTTTCTCATTCCTCTGGACATGTTTGTCGTCTTCGGCACGCTCTGTATGGTTTAAAACAATCCCCTCATGCTTGGTATGATCGCTTTCAGGCCGTTGTCACTTAGCTTGGGTTTAATCCTTGTGCTCGGGATTCTACTTTGTTTTTCATTCACACCTCTGCTGGTTTTGTTGCCCTGTTACTGTGTGTGGATAATATAATCATCACTGGCTCGGACTCTTCTGCTATCTCTAAGTCAAGCAACATTTCTTCCGCACCTTCGAAATGAAAGATCTGGGCCCCTTGCGGTATTTTCTTAGTATTGAAGTCGCTTCTTCTCCTAAAGGTTACTTTTTATCTTAAGCTAAGGCTTCGTTTGAGAACAAGTTATTTTAGTAACTTTTTGACTTTTTATGAAAAGATATACAGAAAAGTAAAAAGAGTGATGTGACCTTATAGTGACTTTTTGGCTTTTTAGCTAAAATTGAAGGTTGCCAAACGAGGCCTAAATATGCAAATGGGGTTATTCACCGTGCCGGTCTTACTAACATTAAAATTTCTGATACCCCCATTGAGCTTAATGTGAAGCTTAACACTGCTAATGGTGTCCCTCTGGGTGATCCTACTTTATATCGAGAGCTTATGGATTGCTTAGTCTATCTAACTGCCACTTACCCTGATCTTGCCTATGTTCATGTAATTAGCTAGTTCGTTTCTGCTCCTTGTTCTATACATTGGGCTGCTTAGGTTCGCATTCTTCGCTATCTCCAAGGTACTATATTTCAAGGCTTATTGTTGTCCTCCACTTCCTCTTTAGACTTTGTGGCCTATGCTGATTCTGATTGGGCTGCTGATGTTACTGATCGCAAATCTACTTCTGGCTTCTGCATGTTTCTTGGTGATTCCTTAATTTCTTGAAAGAACAAGAAACAGACTGTTGTTGCGCGTTCCACTGCCAAGACTGAGTACCGTGCTATGGCTCATGCCACTGTTGAGATTGTTTGGCTTTATTGTCTCTTATCTGATTTTGGTGTATCTCAGTCTTCTCCAACCTCTCTTTACTGTGACAATCGCAGTGTTATTCATATTATCCATAACACTGTCTTCCATGAGCAGATGAAGCACATTAAGATTGATTGTCATTTTGTTCGTTAGCATTTGCAGTCTGGCTTTATCTTGCTTCCTTTCATCTCTTCGACACTTCAATTTGCTAACTTCTTTACCAAGACTCACACCACTGCTCGTTTTTAGTTCTTTCTTAGCAAACTCTCAGTATTTTCTACTAAAACACCTAGAGTTTGAGCAGGGGTATGAGAATATTATGCTAATTTTGTAAATATATTAGATTGATTGTATGAATATTAGATTGATTGTAAAAATATATATTTATTTTTATTTCCTTTTTTAGATTAGGTCTATATAACTCGGTTGTACTCTTTGTATTATACAATTGAACATACAGATTATTATTCAGAAAACTTACAAAGAGTTAATCCTCCACAAATCATTTACTAAGTACTTGAAAGAGCATAAATCCCTTTACCAACATCTATTCCCCTAGAAAGTGTCAATCCTAAGATCTCACCAATCCAAATTTCAATGTGCACCACTGTATTTGAGTTATCATTTAGCATTTCTAAGTTCTAAGAATCCATTATGTCATCACAGAAACATCTGGCCCATTAAGTTTCAAGTTTTTCACAAGCAATTTCACATCCCAGATTAAATGGCACGTAACAGGGGGGAAAGAGAAATATATGAACCAAGAAAGGGCAGGCAGGAAGTACCAGTATGCCTCGTGGCTATAGGGAAGTGAACGAGGTATAGATCCAAATAACCTAGCTGAAGCTTCTTCAAACTGTCTTTACAGGCTTCAACAACATGTCCATGATCCGAATTCCAAAGCTGCAATCCAGACAGAGACAGAATACAATAAATTGTTGTCATTACCAAGAAAATGTGGGATTCACACCCCTGAGAAACCCAAAAAAGTACGGAGAAAACATAAATTTGCTATGACTGGCCTTGGTAGTAATGAAAAGGTCCTCCCTCTTAACAAGCCCTGTCTGAAATGCTTCTGCAAGTGCCTCACCAACTTCTGGTTCATTCTTGTAATCAGCTGAAAGCACAAACATATTAGACATCATCTACAACACACTGAAAAGGAAAGAAGAAAAAAAGAAAGGGGAGAGAGAGAGAGAGAGAGAGAGAGGATATAGTGTAAGCGAAACAAACTTGTAGATTAAGCCTTGCATATATACTGGTTCTTCCTGATATTTATTTTGTATAGCAGCTCCAAGAGGAAGTACAATGTTTTTTTTATATCATTTAACAGTTATAAATTGTTTCTATATGCCATGGTCGGTGCTTCATCGCTTTAAGCAGGACAAAGTTCAAATTTCACACATGAAAGAACTAGAGATTCCACACAATTGCCATTATTTCATGTCTCTCTTTTTTTGGTAAGGTAACTTTATTCAAGAAACAACAAGAAGACAAAGCATATACAACCCCCAATGAAAAGGTAAAACCAAAAGCAAGAAAAACAGAAAAACTAATATCTGCTAGGACCCATGCCATTCCTTTCTCTGTTGGAGAAGGTTATAACAGCAGAAATGCTACCCATTAACAAATTTACAGTGAACATGCTAATGCTGTACTGACGAATCTTTGCTTTCATACATTTGGCCACTATTCTCATTTCTTTGTTCATTTTTTTCTCCCCCCAGGTAAGTAAGCTGTGGTTGTGGCTTTATTCAAAGTAATACGCCCAACAGTGCAAGGTCAGATTATGAACCTCATCAAGGTTTATTGAGCCGTATATACTATTTTACAATAGGCATTATATTAAAGGTAGATTCACTTAGCTTGCCGTTAGCATCCTGGTGGCACGGTTCACAGAAACAGTTTCTCTAAAAATGGGTTTAAGTCCCAAACCGCATGGGTTTGAGCCACAAAAAACTAAAAATAGCGTAAAGTTGCATACATCTTGCCCTCTCCAAAGCGGGATTATCTCATTCACTGATTCGCCCTTTTTAATGACTCAGTTGCATCAGTGGACTAAGTAATGGCAAAATTAAAACATTATCCTTTCAAAATTTGAGCCCTCTTCAGCAACTCTTTTTTAATTAGAGATCAGAGATTTTAGGACTATGAAACTGCTACAATTATTCAGCCTTGAGAAATCAACATATATATCACAAAAATAAAACCCTAAAATCCCAATCTTACTTGAAAGTAAAATACATCCTCATATGACCCTACTCTACTCATCAATCACGAAACCAGCGAGTGAACAACAACACACTTGATTTACATTTCCATGTAAACTCAACTTACTCGGCCAAAACAAGATATATATATATATATATAGAGAGAGAGAGAGAGAGAGAGAGAGAGTACCAGCACAGTCGAAGTGGCGGTACCCCAACTTGAGAGCGTTGAAAAGGAGGGATTTGATGTCTTTGCCATCCATACGCCAGACGCCGAGGCCGATCATCGGCATCTTGAAGCCATTGTTGAGTGTTATCGCCATTTTCGAGAGTACCCAAAAAGCTTCAGACTCAGAGCTTTTGGCTGTGTGTGTTTCGGAGCTTTGATGATGATATGAATTATATTGAATTGATAATTGTCGATATTATTAGAAAAATGCTTGGGAACATTAATTACTAATTAGGTGGCAGTGGGTCTCGTCATTAATGATATAATGTTTTGATCTTGAAATTGTATTTTTTTTATTTTTTTTTTACTTTTTTAATGCATTAGTGCTATTAGTGGTGATGTTTTTAATGGGATGAATCATTGTTGCTATTATTATTTTGAATATTGATATGGATCGTTTTTCTACCGAACCGTACTGAATTAAACTGATTGAAATGATTTGATCCGGTGTGATTTAATCGATTTAAAACTGATTGAAATGATTTGATCCGGTGTGATTTAATCGATTTGAAATTTTTCAGTATGAATTATTTTTAAATATAATTATTAATTCATATAATTATTAATTCATATAAAAGTATTAAATTAATTATTTATTTATCATTTCAAATATTTTTAATTCTCCTATTTAATACATACTTTTCAATTCTTAAATTAATAAAAATCAAAATCAAAAATAGATTTCAAGAATAATAAATTAAAGTTAAAATTATATATAATAAGAGTTTACAAACTTAGTTTATAAAGATGATGGCCTTGTTTGATTTGTGTTTCAGAAAAAAATTTGGAAAAAATTATCTACAAATAAGTTTTCAAAAGTAATCAAATCAAATAAAATTTTCTAAAACTTGTTTGGTTTACAAATTTTCCAAACAAATCTCTCTCTCATACACATTAAATCAATCACTTTTTTCAAAACTCTCTCTCAAAATAATTTGTCAAAACATCTTTTGGAAGCCATTGTTGAGTGTTATCGCCATTTTCGAGAGTACCCAAAAAGCTTCAGACTCAGAGCTTTTGGCTGTGTGTGCTTCGGAGCTTTGATGATGATATGATTTATATTGAATTGATAATTGTCGATATTATTATTTTGAATATTGATATGGATCGTTTTTCTACCGAACTGTACTGAATTAAACTGATTGAAATGATTTGATTCGGTGGGATTTAATCTATTTAAAATTTTTCAGTATGAATTATTTTTAAATATAATTATTAATTCATATAAAAGTATTAAATTAATTATTTATTTATCATTTCAAATATTTTTAATCTTTCTATTTAATACATACTTTTTAATTCTTAAATTAATAAAAATCAAAATCAAAAATAGATTTCAAGAATAATAAATTAAAGTTAAAATTATATATAATAAGAGTTTACAAACATAGTTTATAAAGATGATGGCCTTGTTTGATTTGTGTTTCAGAAAAAATTTTGGGAAAAATTATCTACAAATAAGTTTTCAAAAGTAATCAAACCAAATAAAATTTTCCAAAACTTGTTTGGTTTACAAATTTTCCAAACAAATCTCTCTCTCATACACATCAAATCAATCACTTTTTCCAAAACTCTCTCTCAAAATAATTTTTCAAAACATCTTTTGAAAAAAAACCAAACCAAACAAATTTTCGTACTTTTTATCTCAAAATATATTTCTCAAATATAAGCCAAACAAGCCCAATAGGGTTAATTAATTAAGGTTAATAATTTATTATGGGGGATGCACCAATAAATCCCAAATTAATAACTTATGCACTGTTTAATCCTAAAAGTTTTCTTATAGACTGAAAGGTCCCATTACAATGTTAATAACATCAGATACAATGTTAATAACATCAGAGTCATGTTACAAACATTGGATTTCAAACATCTAATGTTCATCAAATTTCAATAATGTTTGAAAATATAAGATGAAAAACATCTAATGTTCATCAGATTTCAATAAATTTTGAAATTATAGAATGAAACATCAGATCATTTACATCATTCACATCATGTTGATGTAAAAATTGGACTAAATGGAGCATAAGAAAACTTTTAGGACTAAATGGTTCAACGTTTCAAAAACTAGGACTTATGGGTAAATTTTCCATTTATTATATTTATTAATATCATTAAATTATTAGATTTTATATATTATAAACACAATATATATTGAAGTGGTCGGTTTCTGTTTAGATCGGTATACAAGGTGCTTAAACCGATATCGAACCGAAAACTAAAAAAAATCAAATTTAAAAACCACGCGGACCGATTCTTGTTAAAAAAACAAACCAAATATAGCTAGTTTGGTCCGGTTCAATCGGTTTGGTCGATTTTTTCGATTTTTCTTACATCCCTATTAACGGATGGCACACACAATGAGTGCGCAATTCAGATAACTAACAATGAAAATAAATAATAAAGAATTTAATATCATAATATGTATGTTGCTTAAGTGATAAGTGTATTTTAATGAAACTCAAGGTTTTGAGTTCAAAACTTGTTTACGTTGTGTATAACAATTTTTTTTATTTTAACATATATAAAGTTGTTACGTGATATGAGAAGAAGAAGGTTTCAATAAACTAATTTAAGCTTTCACTTAATAATAGGGAAAATTATTGATAAATCCCATTTAGATGTGTTTTAACCCAAGAAGTCCATGAATGAATTTTTTAACCCATTTAGTCTCATGTATATATAGTTTTATTCCATAAAGTCTTTTTTCTTGATTTACACTATTTTCTTAGACACTTATGCCCTTATATTTAATTTTGATACCCTTATAAATATTTTTTGAACGGTTAGCAATTTTATGATGTGAACATTCATATTTTTTAATTCACATTGGTAGGAATGTAAAATTGGCCCGTGGGCGGCCCAAAACCTGTCTGCGAGCCGGGGCAGGCCCAACCCGTTGACAATGTGAATATTCACATTGACATGTTAACATTCCCATTAATAGGAGTGTAAAATTGGCCCGCGTCCCGTGGCGGCGCGAAACCCGCCCGCGGCCCATGGGCGGCCCGGTCCGGGCCGTTGACATGTTAACATTCACATTGATAAGAGTATAAACTTGGTCCGCGGCCCGGGGCAGGCCCGACCCGGCCCGTTGACAATGTGAATATTCACATTGACATGTTAACATTCACATTGATAAGAGTATAAAATTGGCCAGCGTCCCGTGGGCGGCCAAAAGCCCCCCAGCGGCCAGGGGCCGGCCTGGCCCGGCTCATTGACAATGTGAATATTCACATTGACATGTTAACATTCACATTGATAGAAGTGTAAAATTAGCCCGTGTCCCGTGGCTGCCCGAAACCCGCCCACGGGCCGTGGGCGGCCCGAGGCGGGCCCGGCTCGTTGACAATGTGAATATTCACATTGACATGTTAATATTCACATTGATAAGAGTATAAAATTAGTCCGCGCCCCGTGGCTGCCCAAAACCCGCCCACGGCCCGTAGGCAGCCCGGGGCAGGCCCGGCCCGGCCTGTTGACAATGTGAATATTCACATTGATATGTTAACATTCACATTGATAATAGTATAAAATTGGCCCGTGCCCCGTAGCTGCCCGAAACCCGCCCATAGCCCACGCCTGTTGACAATGTGAATATTCACATTGACATGTTAACATTCACATTGATAAGAGTATAAAATTGGCCCGCAGCCCATGGGCGGCCAAAAGCCTGCCCGCAGTTCAGGGCGGGCCCAGCCCGGCCCATTAACAATGTAAATATTCACATTGACATATTAACATTCACATTGATAAGAGTGTAAAATTAGCCCGCAGCCCGTGGGAGGCCCGAAGCCCGACCGCAGCCCGAGGCGGGCTTGGCCCGACTCGTGACAATATGAATATTCACATTGACATGTTAACATTAATATTGATAGGAGTGTAAAATTTGCCCGCTGCCTGAAGCTCGCCCGCAGCCCGGGGTAGGCCCGGCCCGGCCTGTTAACAATGTGAATATTCACATTGACATGTTAACATGCACATTGATAGGAATGTAGAATTGGCCCGCCGCCCGTAGACTACTCGAAGCCCGCCCATGGCAGGGGTAGGCTCGTTTGGGTCCGAGCCCGAGCATGTCCGAGACCCTAGACTAGGGCCTAGGCCATCACTTTGAAGCCCGGCCTGGCCCATTGGCCCGCTTAAGGCCCATTCAAGGCTCGGTCCGAGGCCCAGCCCGCCTGAGGCACAACGTTTTTTTTTTGTGGAAAATAATAAAATTTTGGTAGAAAAAATTAAAAAGAATTAAAAAAAATGGCAAACTCGCCCAAGCCCGAAGTTAGGCCCAGGCCCACAGGACCGACCCCCCGGCCCCCCCAACCCTAGCCACGGGCCCCTTTCTTCTCCTCCATGCGTACGCCGCCGGCCCCCCCTCCTCCTCCTCCTTATTCTCTTGTATTTCAGACTAGTAACCAGCTGGTATTGTAGAAACCTAGTCGCCGATTTGAAAAACCCTTCTTCTCCTTCTCCTTTTCATCTCAATCGCAAAGCTCTCGTTCGCGAAACCCTAGCCACCGGTCTGAAACGTCATTGATGTAACGGCATTGATGTGCAAGCCGTCGATGCAGGTGTGGGAGCCAGTGGAAAGAAAGGGAACGCCAGAGATGATTTTCGGTTTCAGATCGCGATAGAGAGAGAGAGAGGGGGGGAGGGAGGAGGAAGAGCTCTCGTTCGTGAAACGCTAGCCGCCGGTCTGAAATGACGTTGATTCACGATGAAGAGAGAGAGGGGGAGGAAGAGCTCTGGTTCGTGTGTATGTGTCTTTAAAAAAGAGAAGGAGAGAGAGAGAGAGAGAGAGAAAGAGAGAGAGAGAGAGAGAATTAAGAACAGTGTTGAGGATCCGGAAATCGCCGCTATCACTCTCTCTCAAGTGAACAATGTTGAGAACAAGGCTCATATAGTGGGTTTTTGGTAATAGTTGAAATATCTGAGGGTCATTTAAGTCCTTACACGCCTCAAAAAACAGCTGCGCCCATAATCAGTTTTCAAAAGCACCTAGGAACCAACTTAACAGATTATTGCTGAAATGGCTTAAGTTAAGCTATAATCCGTCCCTCATAATTTTTACCAAACACTCCAACATGACTTATATTTACATTCACATTGATAAGAGTGTAAAATTAGCCCGCAGCCCGTGGGCGGCCCGAAGCCCGACCGCAGCCCGAGGCGGGCTTGGCCCGACCCGTGACAATATGAATATTCACATTGACATGCTAACATTAACATTGATAGGAGTGTAAAATTTGCCCGCTGCCCGAAGCTCGCCCGCGGCTCGGGGTAGGCCCGGCCCGGCCTGTTAACAATGTGAATATTCACATTGACATGTTAACATGCACATTGATAGGAATGTAGAATTGGCCCGCCGCCCGTGGGCTACTCGAAGCCCGCCCACGGCAGGGGCAGGCCCGTTTGGGTCCGGGCCCGAGCATGTCTGAGACCCTAGACTAGGGCCTAGGCCATCACTTTGAAACCGGGCCCGACCCATCGGCCCGCTTAAGGCCCATTCAAGGCTCGGTCCGAGGCCCAGCCCGCCTGAGGCACAACGTTTTTTTTTTGTGGAAAATAATAAAATTTTGGTAGAAAAAATTAAAAAGAATTAAAAAAAATGGCATGGCCAGGCCCGCCCCAAGCCCTGCCTAAACTCGAGCCTAGGCCTAGGTCCACCGGCCCGACCTGAGGCTGTCGTCTTCGGGCCGCAGGCCAATTTTACACTCCTATCAATGTGAATGCCAATTTTACACTCCTATTAATGTGAATGTTAATATGTCAATGTGAATATTCACTTTATCACGGGCCAGGCCAGGCCCGCCCCGGGCAGCGAGCGGGCTTCGGGCCGTTCACGGGCTGCGGGCCAATTTTACACTCCTATCAATGTGAATGTTAATATGTCAATGTGAATATTCACATTGTCACGGGCCGGGCCGGGCTCACCCTGGGCCGCCCATGGGCTTCGGGCCATCCATGGGACGCGAGTCAATTTTACACTCCTATCAATGTGAATGTTAATATGTCAATGTGAATATTCACATTATCACGGGCCGGGCCAGGCTCACCCCGGGCCGCCCACGGGCTTCAGGCCGCCCATGGGACGCAAGTCAATTTTACACTCTTATCAATGTGAATGTTAACATGTCAATATGAATATTCACATTATCAACGGGCAGGCTTCGGGCCGCCCACAGGCCGCGAGTCAATTATACAGTCCTATTAATGTGAATGTTAATATGTCAATGTGAATATTCACATTGTCACAGGCCGGACCGGGCTCGCCCCAGGCCGCCCGCAGGCCGCGGGCTAATTTTACACTCCTATCAATGTGAATGTTAATATGTCAATGTAAATATTCACATTGTACATGGGTCGAGCCCCTACACATTGACGATATGAACATTCACATTGACGGTGTGAACATTCACATTAGGGGTATTTTGGTAATTATGTCACCCATAGGACTTATTGAAACATAAGAAAATAATATGAACTAAATAGAACATAAGTAGATGAAAAAGGTATTTTGGTCTTCTTATCTCAAATAGGACCTAATGGAATAGTCAAAAAAAATATGGATTGGATGGAACATAAGTAATTAAAGATGGATTTATGAAAAAAGCTCCCTTAATAATAGTATAGATGTGTTGTTGCCAATCAATTGGTCTTCTTGGTGTCGTCTAGTACCGAATCTGCCTTTTATGTAATCATGTGATAAAACAAATGATAAAACCCAGCCCAGCCCATTATGTAGTTACTACGCCAATTTTGGGTCATTCTAGGGCGTTTGGGATGGGCTAGACAAAATCGTCAATAAAATAAAGGTCAAAATAATTAATATTTATTTTTTATATATATTTTCGTAAAAAGATAAATAATTAGTTAAAATAATTTATTTCCAAACAAATATAAGCTAAAAAAGCAAACAATCCAAGTTTAAAAGTTAATCGAGGGATGTTGTACTCTCTCCAAAATTAGTCATCCCAACGATAACATATATGGCTAGTAAGAGCATCTCCAATGGCTTGCTATTGGAGCTGCTATTGCCAAATTATGGTAGAAATTCATAAAAAGCCATCTCTAATGGTAAGATTTAGTAGTTGCTATCTTTGGCAAATGCTAAAGCTGTCAAGTCAGTTTCAACCAACCATTTCCTCTCTCCCTTCTTTTTTTCATCATCCTTTCCAAATATAGAAGCAAAATGCACCCAAAAACCACCAAAAAATAAAAATAAAAGCAAAATTTCAGGAATAAACGCAGATTGAGCAATTTCAAGCAAAATTTCAGCAAAATTTCAATTTCAAGCCAAAAAAAACATTTAATTAAATTGAACAACACAGTGAAGTCAAAAAAATAAATACCTAACAAAAATAGGCTTCGTTAGAGTTGATCATCTTCATATTCTTTGGATGGTCTTCATTAGGGTTTCGAGTTTGGATCATCAATGATAGAGAGGGATCATTGGAGAATATGTTTATAACAGAGGGAGAGATAGATCGAAGAGGGAGAGAGAAGAACGTTTTGGTTAGGATTAGGGTTTCGATCGTTAGAGATCGACAGTTTAGAACGGAGGGAGAGAGACAAAGACAGAAAGAGAGGTCAAAGAGGAAGAAAGTGAGAGATAGGGGATTGTGGTGGAGAAGAGGGTTAGAGAAAAGAGAAGGATCTAAAGGGTTTGAGGATTGAAGATCGGCGGTGAGTGTAGTGGTGGTGGTTCTGTTGGTTATGGTAGTGGTAGTTCCTTTCACTGTGGTGGTGGTTGTGGTGATGAAGAAAATGAGATTGGAGAATAGAGAAAAACATTTGGGAAAGAGGGTTGGAGATCGGCGGTTGTGGTAGTTGTTGCTGAGGGTTTGGTGGTTTCTATGGTTGAGGGTCGTGGTTGTGGTGATGAAGAAGAGGAGAAATAGAGGGAGAAGAGGATTGGAGAACAGATAAGGACATTTGGGGAAGAGGGTTAGAGATCGACAATTATGGTGGTTGTTATTGAGGGTTTGGTGGTTACTGTGGTTGAGGGTGGTGGTTGTAGTGATGAAGAAGATGAGACACAGAGGGGAGTGAGTGAGGAAATCTGCAATCGGTGAGGGTGAGGGAGAGAGATGAAGACTGGTTGTGAAGAGGCATTGGAGAGATAAGAGAGACAAAGAGAGAAGTAGAGAGAGAGAGCAGAGTTGGGAGTAGTTTCTAGAATCAAGAGAGACAGAGTGATAAGAGAGACAGAAAGATAAGAGAGATAGAGAGAAGCAACAATCTGGATCGTTGGATTGTTTAATCCAATGGTGCTCTTTTGTCATTGGAATACACAAATTGAGCAACAACTCTTTTTTTTTTCCCTCCAATTGAGAAATGTTTGAAACAGCTAGTTTTTAATGGTTATAATTTAAACAGATAAAAAAACGATCATATTTTTACTCCCTATAAAACTAAACAATCAATCTCAATTTGAATACACATTATCTTCAATCTACATAATTTTTTTTTTTTGTTTGTTTTTTCACACAATGAGTATGGAAGGTTTATCAAAAATAAAGAGAGGAAAATCATTCACCACTCAGGAAGATGTGGCAATTTGTAGAGTTTGGTGTCACATTACTGAAGACCCAATTGTTGGGAATTCGCAATCTCATGCTCATTTTTAGGGAAGAATTTTTGAAAATAATTTCTTACTACAGAATGGTTAGTCAATAATACAAGTGTCTATCTCATCTCGATAAGGTGAAATCATGAAATGTTATAATAAATTTCGTGTGTGTTTGGTGCAAGTCGAAAATCTACACCCAAGTGGGATGTCTCAAGTTGATAGTAAGATTTCATTTTCATTTATTATGTTAGTTTTTTTATTTTGTCTCATATAAAAATTAACTAATTAATTAATTTAATATTTTATTGATACAGATACTTCAAGCAAAACTTTTATATTTTCAAGGTGAAAGCAAATATTTTGCTTTTGAACATTGTTGGCCAATCTTGCAAAACAATATCAGGTGATAAGATGTAACTCCTACGAACGCAGTGAAGTCAAGGATACATATACTGTTTGTCACGACCCAACCCTCGGATGCTTAGGGCTGGAATCGCAACTTATTAATTCTAATTGAACAAATTAAGTAGCGCAAACAGAAGCGGAATAAAAGTAAGAAAATAATTAAACAGAAAATTAATTCGTTAATGATCGAAATTACATCCATGGGGCTTTTATTATTTTATTATGCAGTGACAAAATTTTAGAAAAAAAAAAAGAAAAAAAAAACAATGTGTAATAAGTCGGCATCAAATTCCGTGCGAGTCCCACTATACGAGGTTACAGTTCTTATTTACATCTCATTACCTGAAAAGGGTAACAGCTATAAGCACACAGTAGAGTGAGAAATATTATGCCAAGAGTATAAAGGACACAAAGTAATCGTGGATAGTTATTTAAGTTAAAACATTAACATAACTTAATTTGAATAACCAATTATTTAAGTGACAAAAGCTGAAATACATAAATTATGTAAATAAATAACCATAACTACGGTACAGAACAAAATAGAACAGAAGTCACTGGAGTGACAGTCAAAACAGAAGTTAATGGATCCATGACAAACAGAGGGCCAGTAAGTGACCAATTAGAAGCCAATGGTTTAGTTAAGTCCCCCAAGGCATAGGACTTCCGTGGTGGTACTTACAAAAAATAATTGTTTATAAAATTATTGTCAAATAATTTCTAAAATTTAAACAAACATATTCATGGGTTTCAATTTAAGCAAATAGAGTTCAGAAAATAATCAACATAATTGAAATATTAATATAATTTATAAAACACATTGTGTAAAATAAATTATGGTAACTCAAAACATACGTAAAATATATTATGGTGACTCAAGGTATAATATAACTCACCTTAATATTAACTTTTTACTCTTACTTTCCACTATCACAACCTTCTTACTTATTAGTTTACTATCTCCAGTATCTTTTTCGTGTTTTGTTTTTTTTGTTGTACTGATCTTGAGCAAATCCTCCTTATAATAAGGAGGCAAACTGTGCCATCAAACCACAAGAGTCCTCCAGAACCAACGCATGTACACAGCCAAATCTTCCTTAGATTAATACTTATCTTATTAATTTTTGCGTTAATTATACTCTGGCCCAATTCTTTAAAATAATTATATATCACTCGTTTGATAAAAACAAAACAAACTAATCTCTAATTAAATTATACTCAACCATAACATCTAATATTTTATTTACTCTACTTATGTATATATATAATTTTACGTGGTATTTAATTAAATATTTAGAGTGTCATATTTCTTCCCTCTTACATAGAAGTTTGTCCCCAAATTTGACGTACTTTGGTTTTCGAAGAGGTGTGGGTATTTGGCTCGTATTTGACTTTCGATTTCCCATGTTGCTTCTTCAACACGATGATTTCTCCACAAAACTTTTACAAGAGGTATAGTGTTATTTCGGAGAACTTGATCACGACGATCAAGAATCTGCATTGGTTGTTCTTCATAAGAGAGATATTCTTGAACTTCCAGGTCCTCATAATCAACAACATGCTTTGGATCTCGAAGATACCGTCAAAGCATCGATACATGAAACACATGATGGACATTGGACAGTTCAAGAGACAGTGTAAGGCGATAGGCCACAAGACTAATCATTTCTAGTATCTCGAATGGCCCGATGTAATGTGGGTTTAACTTTCCTTGCTTCCCAAATCGAATAACCCCTCTTGTTGGTGAGATCTTTAACATATGATCTCCTATTTGAAATTCTAATTCCCATCTTCGTGCATCTGCATAACTTTTATGGCGGCTCTGGGCAATGTGAATTCGTTGTTGGATGAGTTAAATTTTATCACTTGTTAATTACATGATCTCGGGGCCTAACAGTTTACTATCTCCGACTTTCGTCCAATACAGAGGTGATCGACATCTCCTTCCAATGCTTGCTTGGTAGCTGTTGTTATAGGCGAATTCCACTAAAGGTAGGTGCTCATCCCAATTACCTTTGAGGTCTAGCATGCAGACACGTAACATATCTTCCAAAGTCTAGATTATTCTTTCAGATTGTCCATCAGTTTGCAGGTGATAAGCAATACTAAACTTCAGCGTTGTTCCCAAAACTTCTTGCAATTTGTTCCAGAAGTGAGATACGAGGTAGGGATCTCGGTCAAACACGATCGAAACTGGGGTACCATGCAATCGAATGATTTCCCTGATGTATAATGTGGTGAACTTATTTAGGGAGTACGTGGTTTTTATTGGTAGAAAATGTGCCGACTTCGTCAATCGGTCTATTATAACCCATATTGCATCGTTCTTCAAAACTGACTGAGGCAGTCCGACCACGAAGTCCATAGTAATGTGTTCTCATTTCCACTTAGGTATAGGGAGTGGTTGCAGCATTGCTGCAGCAGGTCTCTGATATTCTACTTTAACTCGTTGACAATGTAGACATTTGGAGACGTGGCTTGCTGTGTCTCTTTTCATTCTTGTCCACCAGTAATGTTCTTTCAGATCATGGTACATCTTTGTATTGCCAGGGTGGACTACAAATCTCGAGCTATGAGCTTCTACCAATATCTTCTTTTTGAGTTCCGGAATGTCAAGTACGCGGATTCGATTCTGAAATTTTAGCATCTTATTACTTATAGTGAAATCAGGATCAGGCGTACTCCTTTGCCCCCTCGTACTTTTTCTTCAAAAGTTTATCTTCACATTGGCGTGCTTTAATTTCTTCAATCAATGAGGGTTCCACGATTATGTTGGCGAGCAGTCCATTAATCTTGCGGAGGACAAGGGTACATACCAAACTTCTGGTAGTCTTTCGACTTAATGCATCTGCTACTACGTTAGCTTTGCCTGGATGGTGATGGATCTCTACATCGTAGTCTTTCATAAATTCTAAACATCGTCGTTGCCTCATATTCAGTTATTTCTGTATAAACAGATATTTAAGACTCTTGTGATCTATGTAACTTTCACAGGTTACTCCGTAGAGATAATGACGCCAAATCTTGAGGGCAAAGATTACTGCGGCTAATTCCAGATCTCATGAGTTTTTAGTTGACACGAGGCATACGTAATGACTTTTCCATTTTGCATAAGGATGCAACCCAAACCATTGTATAAGGCATCGTTATAAATTACGAATCCCTTTGTTCCCGTAGGGATTGCTAGTGTAGGAGCTGTCACAAGTTTGCTTTTCAACTCTTGGAAGCAACGTTCTTGCTTGTCAGTCCATTCAAAGGGTGTGTTCTTCTGAATTAGCTAGGTCAATGGTGATGTTATCTTCGAGAAATCTTGCATGAAGGGTCGGTAATAACCGGCTAAATGTAAGAAGCTTCGAATCTCAGACACGTTAGTAGGTCTTGGTCAATCCACGATTACTACAACTTTTTATGGATCAACCGAGATGTCATCCTTGTTAATGACGTGACCGAAGAAGTGTATACTAGTGATCTAGTATTCGTATTTTTTCAACTTGGCATAAAATTTGTGATCACATAGTGTCTGTAAAACTCTTCGCAAGTGGTGTTCATGATCTTCTAGTGATTTGGAGTATATGAGAATGTCGTCAATGAAGACAATGATGAACTCGTCAAGATAAGGTTTGAATACCCGATTCATGAGGTCCATAAAGGCTATTGGAGCATTTGTGACGCCAAATGGCATGATGAGGAACTCGTAGTGCCCGTAACATGTTCTGAAGGCAGTATTTTTTATGCTTTCCGTTTTAACTTTTAGTTGATGATAACCAGAATGCAAATCGATTTTAGAGAATACTTGGGCGCCTTGAAGTTGATCAAACAAGTCATCGATTCGTGGCAGGGGATATCGATTCTTGATGGTGAACTTGTTCAATTCTCGATAATCGATGCACAATCTCATGGTACCATCATTCTTCTTTACAAACAGTACTGGATCTCCCCACGGCGAGGTACTTGGCCGAATAAAACCTTTGTCCAGTAGTTCTTAGAGTTAGGTCTTCAATTCTTTCAATTCCGTCATTGACATACGGTAAGGGGATTTCGATATTGGTTATATACCACGTTGGGTTTCAATAGTGAATTCAATTTCTCAGTCAACTGGAGTACTAGGTAAATCTTCTGGAAAGACATCCGGGAATTCTAGAACCATAGGGATTACATCAAGTGTGGGGGCTTCTTGTTGAGTATCAATCACATAACAGATATAACTACAACAATCCTTGTTTAGAAGTTGTTGGGCTGTCATGGAGGATATACGACAATGAGGGGTGGAAACTCCAGTTCCATCAAAGATAAGCTCGAGTTGGTTTGGTAACCGGAGGAAGACATATTTGGCTTTGCAATCGATAAAGGCGTGGTTGGTAGCCAACTAATCCATTCCTAAGATTATATCAAAGTCACCAATGCAGAGGGGAATCAAGTCTATGTATAAGGTTCCGTTTTTTAGGGATATAACATAAGATTTGTACACATCAGCACTAAAGGCAAAATTACGAGAAGGAAAAGACACAGACAATATATATCCTAAGGGTTCAAGTGTCGATGCCAACTTGGAAACAAAGTGTGGTGCAACAAAAAAATGAGTTGAACCAGAGTCAAAGAGAATATGAGCTAAATGACCACAGATAGAAAGTGTACCTGACACAACGTTTTCGGTAACTTCCGGTTTTCCAGGTACCAAGGCAAAAAAGCCCTTCCTTGGCCTTTTTGGTCCTTCCTCACTCCTCCAAATCTTGCGGGTTTTTTGATTGGTTTAGAGGGGGCACCTGTAGGACTGGTAAGCTTTGGACAATCTCTCAGTAAGTGGCCAACTTGACTGCACTTAAAACATGCTCTCGTGTCTCGATGACATCGTCCTTTATGAGCCCTTCCACAAGTAAGGCAAATAGGAATAGTGTCACTTCTAGGGTTAGAACCTTGATTACCTAAACTAGTTATGCTTGTATTTACCTTCTTTGGGGGTGCAGCACTGGATCTTCTGTTATCTCTTTCCCAAAATCG